CTTTTGAGGATCTCGCAGCAAAGGTTTGCAGAAGAGTTGGCTGCAGAGTACGGCGTTGAGTGGGGGAAGAGTGTGCCCTTGCCTGTGAGCGTGAAGCTCACCGACTTTGACGAAAACGAAGCGTGTGCTGATGTCCCGTTTCGCGAGTTGGTAGGATCCCTAATGTGGTTGGCCACTCAAACCAGGCCGGACATCGCGAATGCAGTACGAGCAGTAGCGCGGTATTGCGCGTCTCCCCAGATGGTGCATTGGAAGGCAGCACTTGGTATTTTAGGGTACGTGCGTTGGACGAGTTGGATGGGGATTACATTTGAGAGGGGAGTGGTCACTGGCATGAGCTTGCAGGTGTTTGTGGATGCCGACTATGCAAGCAAGGCAGCAGACCGTAGGTCGGTCTCAGGAGGACTAGTGATGTGTGGGGGTGGGTGTGTGACTTGGTTTTCGAGGACGCAGAAGTGCGTTACACTCTCCACAACGGAAGCAGAGTATGTGGCAATTGCCGACGTCTTGAAGGGAGTGCTTTTCTTGAGGCAGGGTTGGCGTTTTATGTTGCCAGATGCAGGTATGCCGTGCATTCCGGTCTTCGAGGATAATCAGGGAGCGATTCAGATTGCGCAAAACCCGATCACGAACTCAAACTCGAAGCACATCGATGTACGGCATCACTTTATCAGGGAACTGGTAATGAGGAAGGAGATTTCGATTACGCACGTGACGTCAGAGTTTCAGCATGCAGATTTCTTGACGAAGGCTATTAGCAAGGAATCTTTTGCGTTGCACAGATACTTCGTGATGAATTTGCAGTGAAAGAAGTGTTTTGGGATCAAATCGTGTTTTGCCGTGGAGTGGAAGAGAGAGGATACGTACGGGTTTGGACAAGAGATGGAGAGAGTCAAGTGGAGATGGTAGTGTTTTGGAGAGTTAGTGTTTGGGACTTTTCTTGGTGATTTGGAAGAGTTGGTATGCGATTGATTATTTTCGGACGTAATTGTATTGGTGTTGGGATTTTGAATTGTGTCTTGGTTTTGATTGTGTTTTGGGATGAACTGGTATGAGAAGGATGACTTTGATATTTTGCCGGAGCATGACGATGCATACGAGCAGGGGGGCTATTCGATATACTCGTAGCATAGCATATTACGTATATATATGCGGGATTTGCAGTGACGAACTACGGAGGAACAAGAAGTTTCTTAATGTTTTCCTTGGGAGTGTGGTAGATTGGTGGACATTCATGGAGATTCGTTTTGGGTGTTTAAGCGAATGCGTGACTTGATGCCGTGATGGAATGACGAGCTCAACCACGCCCCCGATGAATACAACACGTTTTTCAACATTTCTGCACGTCTTTACCTACCCCTACGGCCCGTCATGGCCGAGCTGCTCTACACTCCCATCACACACAACTGAGCCACCCGAATTATCGATCATGTACATTTACTTTGACGAGAATGATGTGCTGCTAAGGACGTTGCTACAGAGATGTTTGACCGCCCCAGTATCCGAGGACTACCAAGTGGGACGAGACATTTTTTTTTCAGGGGCCACAGCCTCGCCAGGAACATACGAACTGGAACAACCCTCGGTATTCCATACCTCCTGATTTTGCTTGCTTGCCCAGCCGCAACGGTGCATCATCCACGTGAAGTTCGGCTTGATCCATGACGTTCTCTTGAAGTTGAAGCCATCACCGCCGAAGTATTGGTTCTCGACAGCGAAATTGCCGAGCTCAGGCTTGTACGCCTGGTACACGATGACTTCTCTGTCTGTGAACTGTGCTAGCAGGCACCTCCCCGTAGCTGTCGGGACCGAGTGTTCTCCCAGTCGTAGCGTCGTTAGCGAACCAACGTTCGTGGCTGAGTTGCTGGTAATGATGGCAGGATCCATGTCTTGATCTTCTGTTGGCGTGACAGATCTGCGTTCCGCCATTTTCCCCCTGTTTGTCTCTCTCTCTCTCTGGTCAACAAACAACCTACAATCAAACTGAGGTTTGCAGAGGTGTCGTTTTCTTCTCCTGTTGTGGAGCTTTGCCGATAGCGAGAGTGTTGTGGTGTGGTGTGGTTTGAACGGCGATGCTCGAGCGCTGTCATCGGGCGGGAGGATCACCAAGAGGAACGATTCTCAGAATAGTCCGCGCCCCGCGCTATGCTGTCTCAATCCCATATACCGGTTGCATTGCATTCTCCGCTGCGCGTCGCCCCAGACATCACGTCGAGTCACACAGCCGACGCACGGTCCAGTATCGCACCGACACACAGCGCGGCCTGCACACCGCCACACGCCAGCAGTGTATGCCCTACCGGTGGAGCATGGCTCGACTAGCGCTCGCATATCTCGCGGCTCTTCGAACCGTGTCTGCTGTTACCATCGAGGCGAACACCCGTGCGGCTTTCGTTAGAGCCCCGCTGTCAATCCCTTCAACGAGGTCGTATGGCAGCACTAGGAGGTCATGGCACAGCAGGACCTCGCGCTCACGCAGGTGCTTATTCGTTCGTCGAGTGTTCACAGATGTTGGTTGTTGCTGTGGCTAGTGGCGTGGGTATTCATGCTCTCGTTCGTACATGTTCATGATGCTTTGCGGCTTATTTGAACCAGATGGACATCAACTGGCCTGCGTAGTCCTGGCCGTAGAAGCTGCCCTAGGCCGGGAACAATGCGCACCGTGCTGTGAGCACGCACTTCCCGCCCTGTTTGATCGGAGGGAATTTCGGCCCTCGTATTGACTGGTCTTTTGTCGACTGGAATAGACACTTGGTGTGTTTGAAATTGGATTAGGCGGGGGGGGTGGTATGTTACGTCAAATGTCCGCCCTCGACCACGTGCCACGCACGTGTGACAGGCAACACAACGGTTTCGTATAGCACTAACACATGGCTTGGGCATGACCGCAGCGGCAACAACAGCACCATATGTATTACGTGAAGATCAGGTTCGTATTCCGGATGTACGCCGCTGCGCCCCGCTGGGAGCACAGATCATATGTCAAGTTCTCATGAAACCGCTTGTGTTAATTTGGGTTCCCAACTCCAGTTCCAGGACGCCAAATAATCAGCCGATTTTTAGCGCTGCTCTCACCGCACTGGTCTTCCTCGTGACCCTGGTCGACATCTTGGGCTTGTTGTGAAGTTGGTTGGTTCTAAATTAGTCATCTGCGGGTGAGCGGGAGGAAACAGGCCAATGCCTTGCTTATGACGCCAGGCACGCCAATACGCGCCGGGAAGGTGACCTGTTTTGCTCCTCCACATGGCTGGAGGCGCTCGGCCTGCAACGGTCCCGTGCAACGCGCAAAATCACACGACAAGGCCTGCGCACGCGCATCTTGATCCCCCAACCGCCCCAAATAACAAAACGCCAGTTGCACCAGCAGAGTCCGAAGGTACTGCGCTGCGGCAACGCCGGGGGAGGGCGCTGAGGACGATTCCTCCCAAGATCCTGTCGAAGGTTCCGGTGGAGGGAAGGACGCAGGCGCTGGGGACGAAGGAGGAGAAGAGGAGGGGAAGACGATAGCTGACATCACAGCCCCGGTGGCGAACAACGCAGACCACATGGTGTCGGCGGTGGCCGGTAACGGCCAGGTCGTGGCTCGGGCGGTGACCGCGCGGAATCTGCTGCAGGTATGTACGATGGTGCTTTTTCTCCTGTCTTGGCGCGCTGTTGCTTTCCTCGTTGCTGCAGCTGTTGCTGCTGCTTCTGCTGGTGGTAGTGCTGCTGCTGCTGCTGCTGCTGCTGCTGCTGCTGCTGTTGGTGGAGGTGGTGTGTCTGCTGTGGTTCCGAATTTATGCTGTCGAGATTTTTGGAATGTCATGACGCTCGTGCGTCGCTCTGTGTTTGTACAGTATTTGTCGTCTGCCTCATGCTTGTCGCGTTTTACATCTTAGAAGGGTTGTTGCGCGTTTCCATCGAACGAACACATCTACCCTAATGGCGACAACACTCGAGCATCGTGAGCATTGGTATTTGGTTTGGGTTGAGCTCCAGCGCATGCTAAGAGAAATATCTCTGGGCCATCGGCCGGACTGGCGCGATCATGGGTCAAGCATTTTCCAGAATGGGACGTTTTCACGATACGCAGGCCTTGCCTTGCCAACCCCACCCCCATCATCCACTGCCCCGTTTATTTCTTTTCTGTGCCTTTGACCATGAACTACAAAAGGATGCCCTTATCCGGCAAGATCTGTACCCGTTGGCAGCGGACGCGTTGGGGAGGGTCATGGTCTGCACAATGCTCATGGCCGGTGGCCTGAAAGATCGGGAGACGTTCCAGCTCACGTTCAGTGGCAGTGGGCCGCTGGGGGGCGTCGTGGCGATCAGCGACGGGGAGGGGGGGGTGAGGGGTTACGTGACCAACGGAAAGGTCAGCGGATCTACAGCAGACAGCAGTTGGCTTCGTGAGCGATGGTGGCCGATGAAGGGAAATGAAAGTAGACTTTTATGACCTGAACGTTTTTGGGGGAACATTTTGGCCGTGGTCGAACGTAGAAACCACGTGTTTGACTTGCTGTATTTTTCCTGTGCTGCCAGCCGGCCAGCTATTCTCGCTGTTGCTGGGTTTGTGACTTGTAGTCCGTGAAGTGTTAAACGACTGTATGAGAGGAGGCCAACTGCACCCTGGGGGTTGCTAAGTCCAAGCGTTTCTTGTTCCTTTGCGCGCCCTTTCTGCAGGTGGAACTCCCCCTGAAGGACAACGGGAACCAAGACGTGGCTCAAGGAATAGGGGAAGGTCTACTGAAGGTGTGCGGATGTGTGTGTGGTGCATGACCCAGAGCGAATGTGTACAGCGTTGCACAAATCACACCCAGGTGGATACCCGCTTGTGCAGAACCTCATGGTACCGCTTTTTCGTGTCGGCCAAAGCCTGCAGGCATTGGAAGATGGCCAAACGAGAACTTGCCGCATTCGCTCGCCACCTTAATGTCCTCCTTGGTCTTTTTCCTGGTCGGGGGGCTTTGCGAGTAGCCCAATAGCCATCCCCACGCAGGAGCAGCGAGGTACAGCAGTGCAGTGCACATCCACACAAGTCTGCCACCGCCGCCGTCATCCACCTGTCACGCAATTGTTCATAGGTCGTGAGGAATCACCCCGACTACCAGAGACCATACACGGGCATCACCGCCCTCAAGACGGGAGAGGTGGCCTACGACGCCGCGTCCTACCTGGCGGAATCCGAGCAGAAGTCGTGCGCCATCGCTGCCGGCTGCTTCGTTACGGTGCGAGAAGGAGGAAACAAGAGTTTTTCAATGGTTGAGACCCAGGAAGGAGGGCGCGTCGGAGAAAGTGCTCATCTTGAAACACGTCCATTTTGACCTGGCTCAACTTGTTTCGTTGGCGGTACATGTGCGCTATCTGCCACGGAAAATACACGCTTTTTTGTTCACTCGGTGTTTGTTTTCTCAACGCATGGCTTTCATGGCGTTGTCGTTTCGCCCGTGAAAAGACGGATGCTGCATCTCGTGTTTGTTGTTTTTGTTGTTGTTGTTGTTGGCCTTGGAAGGTCTCGATCAACCCCAAACGCAATGTTCGAGATTACCCTTTGGTACACCAATACGCACATTGTTTTGTTACCCCCTTTTGCCACCGTCGATGACGTTCTTTTACGGCGAGGACAGGATGCGCTGGTCCGACAGGCGGGGGGATACATGCTGGAGACTCTGCCCGAAGCTTCTGAGGAGACGGAGAAGGCCGTGATCAACAACATCGCGAAGCTTCTCGCAAGGGTAAGACTTGTTCGCACTTCATCTTCCTGTTCAAAAATACTAGCATAATAGCATGCGATGGATAGATGCCATGCGTCCGAAAAAAAGACTGAACCTTGCGGAATCACTTACAGAATATAAGACGTAAGTTGAACCCCAACCTTCAATACATGCGGCAATAAGAGTCGGCGCAACATACGTTCCTGAGGTTGGCTTGTAGCCTAAAAAGAAACAAGGTACCAAACTCTGCATTGTGGGCGTGGGGACTACCGGGGATATTTACTCGTGCGTCACTCGCTCCAATCATCCGACCAGTTCCCCGCGCGTATGTTCCAACATCTAGCAGCTCTATCCCTCCTTGTAGAGCGGATTCTTGTATCGTTTGAGCGCCCTTGGTTTTCCCCTGTTATCAGAGAAGTCTTCGGGTCAGGGGGGTTGCAGGGGCATGGGGGGTATTCGTACAATGTACTTGGGCGTCTTGTTGTGAACTACCATGCTTGCCGGATGTGTTTGGAGGTCAGTCGCCAAGGGCGAAGAAGCCACATCGTTTGTACCAGAAGTGTACCCTTTGCCGCCGCCATAGCAACAGGTAGCCATGCCGTCCGCGTTGTCCAACCGTCGCCGTCGCAAGAGCTTGTGGAACTGAGTCGTTTTGCTCAACCGCAGCCAACAGATATGAGGTTGTACTCGGTCGGCTGCTCTACTCGCCCTAGTCCAAGGTATCGGGCTGCATGGCCCGTTGGGTGTTGCCGCAGACGAGAGCTGTTCGGTCAGAGGTAGAAACTGCCACCAACGGTTACTTGCAGCACACAACATGCGCTTGCATTTCTGTTTTTCCCCCGACCAAAACAACAGTCATCGGATCCCAGCGACCTCATGGGTAGAGGGATGACACCGATAAGCATCGTGGAATCTCTGCTCGAGGGCTTGGGGGGGGTGGGGGCGATCACCTACAAGCGACCGGAGTTCTTGTGCCACTGCTCCGACGAGAGAGTCTACACCGCGCTCAAGCTCCTAGAAAAGACAGAGGTGCGACGTTACTGATGGTGGCTGTAGAGTTGCGGGGGGGAGGGGCGGCGGGGGGGGGGGGGCTCTTTTGTTTT